AAGCAACAAAGGAGTGGCTCAAGAAGAAGCACATTAAGGTCCTGGAGTGGCCTAGCCAGTCTCCAGACCTTAATCCTATAGAAAATCTGTGGAGGGAGCTGAAGCTTCGATTTGCCAAATGTCAGCCGCGAAACCTTAATGACTTGGAGAAGATCTGCAAAGAGGAGTGGGACAAAATCCCTCCTGAGATGTGTGCAAACCTGGTGGCCAACTACAAGAAACGTCTGACCTCTGTGATTGCCAACAAGGGTTTTGCCACCAAATACTAAGTCATGTTTTGCAGAGGGGTCAAATACTTATTTCCCTCATTAAAATGCAAATCAATTTATAACATTTTTGACATGCGTTTTCTGGATTTTGTTGTTGTTTTTCTGTCTCTCACTGTTCAAATAAACCTACCATTAAAATTATAGACTGATCATTTCTTTGTCAGTGTGCACACGTACAAAATCAGCAGGGGATCAAATACTTTTTTCCCTCACTGTACCAAGCGTAATGGCAGGGCGAGCTGGGGAGGGCTGTGATAGACGTCTCGGGTTATTTTTTGTTGTTTAATTGTTTTAGATTTATGACCCGGACTGTTCGAGCACTCGGCGGGACCGCTGGAGGGAGGGAGGTGGGGAACCATGGCACTGTTTCACAATCTAGTCCGCGTTGTCGACATTGACCTCGTCCGATGTCGTCATCATCGTCGTCGCCGCTGTCGGCATTGCCGGTCAGATGGTTTAAGGCCGAGGGGACCTTGGGGAGACTTCCAGCACCCGTTCCAATATTGGCCACCGGTGTTTAACCGTAACCAGGAATCGAACTCGGGTGAGCGGCTGTGGGCAGACCGCCTCACCTTGATCACACGGACCGCTTTAGTGTGATCACCTGGGTGCTTTAAGTGCAGGCCATTACGAACCCCCTGAAGAAAATTGGTTCTTGGCAAGGACGCATCGCTGCTGGGAGGGATGCTGGCCGGCGCACGCATGGATTGACAGGCAGCCCGGCCACAGCGTGGGGCTCACCGGCACGGTGCAGTTGCACCGCCTGCACCCTCGATGGCAACGTCACAGCAGTCTACCCCCACTCCACACTCTCCCCCTCATCCCTGCCGAAACTCTTCTCTCCCCACGCTGCTTCCTCGCTCTCTCCGCTCCACACCTTCTTCCAACCCACGCATCTCTCTCTCTCCCACCCACACAACGCCTGCTTCACCCCCACCCCCCTGCCAACGCCTCCCTCTTCCCCCTCTCCCATCCCTCTCCCGCACCCTTGCATCTCTCTCTCCCTCCCGCACCCATCTCATTCCATCTCGCGTGAGTGCGCGTGTGTGAACGCGCTCACCCCCGCCCCCTCTCCTACATTTTTCCTTTCGCTCTTACGGAGGAGGCGACAGGCACCCTCGGCCCCTCTCTCTCTCTCTCCTCCTCCGCAACGACACGGAGAGTTTCCCCGTCTCTCTCGCCAGGTGAGTTGATGGTGGTGGTTCCTCCTGCAACTCGCAAGCCTCGACGCGCACACGCGCGCGCGCGCACTCAAACCTTCGCCGATCTGATATCCGCCACGTGGAACAAGTTGCACGTCCGAGACGACCAGAGCGAGGTGGTATCATCATCCTGGATTTTGCTGGAGAGTGTGCGGTAATTATTCAAATTGGGTCTGCCGGCCCGGACAGCACCGTCTGAAATGAAAGGTCGAGGCCAATTGTGATTCATGAGTATTGTTCATTATTATTTGGTGATGCATCGCAGAGTCTCGCGGCAGGGGGCGATGATTGCTTCTTAATGAACTCCAGTCGAGTTGTGCGTGTGTTGGAGGGGGGGGGGATGTCAGATGTTATTGATGGTGGTTGCGTTAGGGGGTGCTCTCTGATTCTCGCGGGGGCCGCTGATGTGCTCGGTAGGGTGTGGGGTGGTGTGGTATAGATCTCGAGTCGACTCTTACGATCTCGCTTCACAAACCGTGCTGAGTGAGTGGTCTTCGTGACCTCGTCCCATCTTGCGAGGCACACAAGCCCCCCCCCCCTCACCGACAACGTCGACCCCAGCGCGTCTCGAAGCCTTTGGGTCAAATATTTACAGCTGCGTGTCGAACGGGTTTGTGAGAAGCCGGTAGAGACATGCGTGACTTTGTCGTGTATACATTACATACGTGCGCGCGCGTGTGTGTGTTGTGTACGTAAACAAGTGTGAGCACAGCACCACACACAGATGCCCTTGGCCCACCACCGTCGTGTCGGTCATAGGAGTTATCTGACCATACTTCACCACGCTGATCACTGCGGCATGGGTGGTGGTCAGATATTACTCACCACTGATGTCTTCCGTGGCGGGGAATTGAAACACCGTGTTCACCGCTTGCCAACTTAATCTATACTATATTCCTATATTTACCATTCTTATCTAATGTTAATTAAAGTCCGTTTTTTTTTGCTGTCACTGGTACCAGAGGAAATGAGTAAATTAATCATATATTCTATCAGTCATTGCAAATAACCCTGCCAGTCTTTTAATTAACTTGTTATTCCTCGTCTGCGTTTACTGAAGCAGTATTTGCATATAATTTGTTAAATTATTTTACAATGACTGCATGTGTGTTTTTATTTTGCCTATGACATGGGTGTCGGAAGCTCAACGGTGTTGAACCTGGATGATAGTGCTCGGAGGCGAGGCCACAAGACATAACAGGTGTTATAGGCTGCGAGCACTACGTTTGTGTGCAGCAGTTTTCCAGCATGGAAAATAAGAACACGTCTTTCCCTTTCTGGCAATACAGGAAAACACCAAATATAAACTTTTTGCAAGGAATCAACTCAGCATTGACCACACGTACTTGTGGCAAACATGCAAACAAACATGCTCGGATAATATATGCAGTGTATGAACACCTTAACACCTCTTGTATTGCTAGAAAGGGTTAAACCTATTATTTTTCATGCTTTTATACCGGGAAAAAAAGGTCCTATGATATAGAGCAGTTTTCCAGTTCAGCAAAAGCACCCTTGTACTGTACTTCTGTGTTGCAACGTCTACACTGCCCGACTTCATGCCACACTAACGCAGGGAGGCCATCACCCAGCAGTGAATTGACACGGGCATGCACATTTTTGGGGTGCGTCTTACTTTCCGAAGCATCCCATTGATCTGGAAAAAAAATTATTGCGGTACCGGAATCTCGTTGAATATAAACAATCACGATTGAACAACTGATAATTATTCACGGGTAGTACACAACTAAAACTGGTTTCATTTACGAATTGTTCAAATTCCAACTTCCACGTTCAAGGACGCGATTATTAATCAGATGCAGTTGTACTTCTAGTTACACAATAACTCGACAGTGCCAGAACAGACAGCCCCGGACCAGCTCTGGGACTCGACATTCGCACGTTTGTTTTTGGCGCAAGCACTGCAGTCACGGTTTGGTTTCGGTCCAAGTGTGTCCACTGCGATTCTCAGAGTCGGCAACAAGTTCACCCCCGAACGGATTGCATGGATAAGGAACAAGTACCCATTATTCCGGTATAGCGGGTGGCGCGCAATTTGAGGGTTTTAAGTTAAAATCCTGGTGTTGGGGGTTGACTCGGCCTCGTCATGTGTCCACCAGGGTTAGTTCAGAGGAGCACAACTGTTCGTAGAAGTCAATAAATGGTGCTTGTCTTATGGTGTGACTCGCCCCAGTCATACGAATGTGGGATTTCCACCACTGGCTCAGAGCTGTTTAAACAAGAGATGAGTGCCAGTCACCTCAATACACTGCTCATTTGAAAAGGGAATAACTTTGACTAATTCTTAGTGTGAAATACGTATTAGAGGGAATGGCTAAACATTCCAATGCAGGCCACTCTTGAAAAAGTGTTAAGACTCCTGGGTGAATCGTTGACATTATTGTTACATAAATGTGTGTATGCATGTACTGTGTGTTTGCAGTGGGGAGCGGTAGTGTAGCGGTTAGCGCGCTGCGCTACAAACTGGGCGAACCGAGTTCGATTCCTGCTCACGGCCAACACCAGTGAAGATTATCTGAACCGGTCCTAGGCCTTCCTTAGGTCAACTCATCCTCAAATGAGTACCTGGTGCGGTGTGTTAACATCGCCACTGGGGAGACAAAGGCGGCCGGGTGTGGTGCTGGCCACCCACCCCCTCGTGTACCATGCCGACCTTCATAGGTGCTCACTAACAGAACTTGCCCCAACAGTCTGTTAAAGGCTATAGGGGGATCTTTGTTTTGTGTATGTGCATATACTGTAATTGTTTATAAATGTGCTTGTGTATATTTTTAAGAGTCTACATGTAGAGGGTGGGTGGAGGGGAGTAATGTGAGACGAGATGGTAATGGTATTGGAGAAGCTATAAACATTTTTATTTTACCATGTAAGGCCCAGAGCTATATAGCTATTTTTCAGAAACGACCTGACCAAACATGATGTGGCTTATGTAGAAACATATAGTAGCCAAATACTCTAAACCCATGTTTCTAAATGTGGAGGAAAATCCACGCGAACAACGGGGTGAACTTGCAAACTCCAAATATACAGGCGTATATTGACATGAGAGGTGAGAGGTAGGAGAGTGCACGGAGGGAATGGAGAGAGGTGAGAGGTAGGAGAGTGCACGGAGGGATGCGGAGTGAGAGGTAGGAGAGTGCACGGAGGGAATGGAGAGAGGTGAGAGGTAGGAGAGTGCACGGAGGGAATGGAGAGAGGTGAGAGGTAGGTGAGTGCACGGAGGGAATGGAGAGAGGTGAGAGGTAGGAGAGTGCACGGAGGGATGCGGAGTGAGAGGTAGGAGAGTGCACGGAGGGATGCGGAGTGAGAGGTAGGAGAGTGCACGGAGGGAATGGAGAGAGGTGAGAGGTAGGAGAATGCACGGAGGGAATGGAGAGAGGTGAGAGGTAGCAGAGTGCACGGAGGGATGCGGAGTGAGAGGAGACTCCACCACGCATGATCCCGACGACGACGATGAGCGCAATCTCTCCACACGCTTGCACGCCCCCACCCCTCCCTCGGCTCGCAGTGCAAGACACGGTAGTGCCCCTGCTGGTGGTGTCGGAGCCCGGCATGTCCCGGCACGCGGACGACGACCCCTCCACGTGGGGCGTCGAGGAGGCCACCGAGTGGACGCCGAGCTCCCTGGTCGACTGGGACGCCGTCCTGTCGGAGGAGCCGCCTCCGGATCCGGACGACGACGCCGGTGCCGCCGGCGCCGTCTCCGCCGCCGCCGGGTTGATCGGCGCGCTGCCCTGGGACCCCACCGAGCTGAAGCGGCTGGCCCGGCGCGGCGCGTGGGCCGGCCGGCACGGGGCGCGGGCGCGTGTCTACGCGGCCGTGCTGGACAGGCTGCCGTGCCGGCCAGGGCTCCCGGACGAGGACTCGTACCGCGGGATGCTGGACGAGGCGGTCGGCGGTCTAGATGCAGGTGGGTGTGGTGCGGTGGCTCCGTGCGTGTAGCGCCCTGTGTGTGTGTGTGTGACCCCTGTGTGTGTGTGTGTGACCCCTGTGTGTGTGTGACCCCTGTGTGTGTGTGTGTGTGTGACCCCTGTGTGTGTGTGACCCCTGTGTGTGTGTGTGACCCCTGTGTGTGTGTGTGTGACCCCTGTGTGTGTGTGTGTGTGACCCCTGTGTGTGTGTGTGTGACCCCTGTGTGTGTGTGTGACTGACCCATGTGAATGTGACCCCCGTGCGTGTGGCCCCAACCTTCTGATTGCGAGCTATACCGCTGAACCCTCCGGCCAGTTGGCTCCCCTCCCCCCTGCCTCCGATGGTGCATCTCTGCCCGCACCTCCGATTAGCGCGGTTGGCTACGTACGGCCGGGAAAGAAGGTCAACACACGTACATGCATGCACCCACTTTATTTCAAGGACACGCACGCTACTACTGTGCACATTCCCTTTGCCGCGAGTGAAATCGCGACCCCCATCCCGTTTACGCGTTCTCTCTCTGGCGCGCGTCGTCGCTTCCCCCCCCCCCCGCACTGCCCCCCTCACCTCCGCCACCCCCCACCACAGAAAAGCTGCCGGTGTTCGCGCAGGGCATGCCGTGCCCCGTGTACCACCTCAACGCGAGCGGGCAGGCGGCGCTGTGCCGCGTGCTGGCCGCCACGGGCAGGCTCTTCCCGGCGCTCACGCACTGCCCCGCGCTGCCCGCCGTCGCCGCCCTGCTGCTGCACTACGCACGCGATGAAGCGCGCTGCTTCGCCGGGGTGGCGCGCCTCCTCTCCTGCTGCTCGGGGTCGGCGCGGTGCAACGTGAGCGACGCGCGCCGCTCGCGGTCGGTAGCCGGCGGTGACGCTGCCACCGCAGACGCAAACAGTAAAACCGCGGTTAAACCAGTGACGTCGTGTGCGGTCGGTACAGGCCCTGGCGCAGGAAATTAAGAGGGGGGGAGGGGCCCCCCCTGGGGAGGAGCCCCCCCTGTCCTAATTTCCCTCCCAGTGTCATCATTTTCAACCTTACTTTCTTTAACCTTTTGCGTGCACGTACGTTGAACTTCTTTCGCGCCGTACGCAGCCGACCGTGCTAATGGGAGGTTGAGAAACCAAGACTTCAAAGAGAACAGGATAGTCTAATTTGGCCCGGGTCACCAAAGTGACGAAAGAAAAGGCCGACGCCTCGTGTTCACCAAGCGTCTTCCTCTTGCCGTCGGAATTGCGCTCCGTTGCCCAACCCAGCAGCTCGAAGTGCTTGGTCTGCTTCCCTGCTCGTTCCGGCTCTTCGTTTGTTACATTCAAAGTCTAAATGTCAACTGCTGTCTCGTGACGCTCGTGTCTGCGTTTGCCGGTGGTGGCCGCAAGGCTTCACGCCGATGTCCCTCTTCGTGTCTTGGTGTTTTCTGGATTTGAATGAAACCGATATTAACTGAAATGAAGTGAAAGGGAAAGTGGTGAAGTTTCACGCGATGTCAATGATTTAAAACGAGGGCCGTAATTGTCCCTGCTGACTCTTAATGCCAAACCCCTAAACCCTAACCAACAACACTAAAAAATATTCCTAACCAAAAAAACCAAACCCCTCGCCCTAAGCCATCACTCTGTACCCTAAATCACTAACCCGACATAAAAAAGTCAATAAGCGGATTCCCTTCATAGTTCTTAATCTGAAAGCAAACGAAGCGGGACTTGGAAAGGAGCGCTGATGTGCAACCCAAGGAAGGTCCTGGACAAAACCTGGCCTATGACTTGATAAGCGGAAGGAAATGTGGGGACAACCATCATGAGCACAAGAGACCGGATTCCCTCTCCCCATTTGCACGGACGGTGGTCACCCCCCCCCCCCCCACCCCCCTGCTAAGAACGACTGCGGGCTACACCGCCCTCTCATCACCTCCGATCGTCTCCTTCTCCCCTCCGCCACCACCCCCCCCCCCCCCCCCTTCAGAAGCACTTCCTGGACCAGACGCACGTGGCGAGCGCCGCATCGGCGCTCACGTTTGGCGACCTGGCGCGCCGGCACGCCCCCGGCGCGCACGCCCTGTTGTCGGCTCGTGGGAGCCCCTACGCCGACTGGCTGCACTGGCTGCTGGGCGACCTGCCCTTCCCCTACGCCGTGCGCCTGCTCGACAGCTACCTGCTCGAGGGAGACAAGGGTACAGTACCGGAGGAGTGGGGGGGGGGGGGGGGAGCACGCCGCGGCTTGGGGCCAGCACCGCAAAAAAACCTCCGTCGCGGGAGATTGCTCTTCGCTCGACCTTCAACTTCCGCTCTCGCTCTCTCCCCAGTGCTGTATCGCGCCTCTCTGGGCCTCCTCAAAGAGTACAAGTCGTGGCGAGCATCCGCCGCGGCCGCAACCGCCGTTTCCGACCTCCCGGCGTGGTACGGAAGCGGCGGCGGCGGCGGTGGCGGCAGCGGACCCGGGCCGGATCCGGCCGGCGAGGACGCGCCGGAGGCGCGGGCCGCGGTGCACGCGTTTGCGCGCGGCCTCGCGGCCCACGGCTGCCCCCCCGAGCGCCTCATGGAGCGCGCCTTCAACATCCGCCTCTTCTCGCGCCGCGAGATGCGGCTCCTGCACGACGCCAACGAGCGGGCGCTGCGCCAGAGAGGGGTGCAGCGCATCAGCACCGGCCGGTGAGAGCCGGGCACCCATCCAGTGCTGCCACCCCCCCACCCATTCCGTTCCCCCTCCCCCCCCTCCCCTTCCCCTACGGACACATTAATGTGGGGGGGCATTCAGGGCTGCAGCCTGGGGGCATGGGATTTTGAGGACGCGTATCACGCCCTCAAAATCAAATTCTCGCTTGGTTGACCGGAGCCATCGATCATCGGTGGTTGTTTCGCCCGATTCAATCAGGATCATCCCAGAACAGCGATTAGCCAATGGGTAACGTCCAGTGGCCAATTCAAATGGCTAACCCGATCACTATTTGCTTCTGGTAATGAAATGAAACGCCTAAAATTAATTCGGTAATTTGTGTTCTACAGCACATCACGTTATTTTACTCATTTCTAATTTAAATGCGTGCCTGCCCACCTCTGCTGGCGTGCGCGTCTCCGCGTGCGCTGCGCCTCCGCTCACAGCGATGAGCTGCCCGGCACCGTGGACGTGTCGAGCTTCTGCTCTGCCGTGGTGACGGCGGCTGAGATGCGCTCCGTGTGGTCGTGGATCCCCGAGCGCCACGCCCTCTACTCCCCGCGCCTCCTCTTCAGCACGCTTGAGCACGGCTGCTCGCTCACGCGGTGAGGCTACACGAGCACGGAGACAAGCGATCTCCACCCACCTCCAACCCACCCACCCACCGCATTGCCTTGAACAGACTGTTGAGGCAAGTGCCAAACAGCGAACTCTGAGCTCCCAACATCATCACCAAGAACATCGCCAACATCACCCCCAAAATAATCAACATCATTATCAACATCACCATCATCAACACCTACGTGACTTTACCCAATAGAACCAAAGAGTATGACCAACATCACCATCATCAACATCACCATCACGATCGTTGCAAGTCATTCATTATCCTTGAATCACTGACACTTAGAAAAACAGGACAATAATTTGTTACAATGCCGCATCATTCGTCATCACCAAATCATCATCACTCACACCCAGGCACAATTAATTTCAATGTCACGATCATAATCAATAACAATACTAATACTCATCGCCATTGCCTTCGACTAACCATCACCACTCGCACAGAGGCATAATTCACCGTTGTTAGCTCTGGCTGCGAGCGAAATTCGGGTTGCTGGGTTCGCAGTGTGCTCACTGCTGCACCACCGCTCCCCACAATGATAACAACGATGTTGCATCCAGGTACCGTAATTCAGACCAGACCTTTTTGGATTTTAAAATGCAATTATTGCACCCTTACTCGTGGTCGCGTGTTTTCTGTTTTCATCCGGGATGCAGGTTTTACGCCAACTGCAAAGAGCACGAGCCTACGATTTTGCTCATTAAGACGATGGACAATGAGGTGGGCATCGTTTATGTCGTTTAGAATCAGAAATATTTGTTCATACTGCAGGGGGAATCCGATGAGCTATAAAGCTCTTTTTCACAGATGTCCAGTTGGGGCATGGGGTCAGAACGTTACAATAATCAGTATAAAAACACGATCGGAGTGCAAAAAATGAAACAATTTTTTTTTATTTTACCAGATAAAGGCACACTGAGCTATTAGCTTCTTTTTCAGAGGCGACCTGACCACAAATGATAGCTCAAGGAAGTTGCTTATACTCTAAAACGCACGTTTATAAATGTGGAGGAAAAAACTGGAGGACATTGATGACAAAAATCCGCGTGATCACGGGGCGAACATGCAAACTCCAAATATACAGGTGTCAATGTCAGGGTCGACGCCCACGATATCCTGCATACCAGGCAAAAAGATAACATGCCCCAAATGTCCCAGCTGACCCAGTGCCCTGAATACATTTTTCGTAGTTCAGGATTTTGTCCCGGTTTAGAAATGTTTTGATCTCATATTTGACGTACGATACGCTCACCTTTAGCATAGCCGCACCCACGTTGACGTTGCTGTAAGGGGTCCTAACAGCGGTTGAAGCGGCCGAGCGCACCACAGTTTAGAAACACAAGTGTTGTTTATAGTTCAAAAGTATTCCCTCTCTAGTGCCCAATCAGTGCGGTCAAGATGGTTGCAGTGATGCATTGATGTCGTTCGCAAGTCACTTCTCAGATGCAGGCCTCGCGTTGCCGTGAGCCATATAAAATGACGTTGCGAGCTGTGCGAGGTTCTCCTGCTGCTGTTTACAGCGACTTATATAATTCGCACATTGATGATGGAAAAAAATAAAAATCTCCATGGAGCTTATTCAAATGAAAATAGTGATCTTAAATTTTTCAATGAATTAGCAATACCTGGCCTGTGGGCCATAGTTGACCTCCACTTGTAACAGGAAGACCGGCACAATTAGCGACCGCACCAATACACCGATACTCATACAGGTACAAACTCTACTCTTAGCATCTCTCGTGTCTGCCCCACCATCTTTATTTCCTCCTGCCACCCTGAACACCCTCCTCGCCCACACCCCCCCCCTCCCCCGGTTCCCCCCCCGGCCCCCCCTTTCAGGTGCTGGGAGCGTTTTTGAGCTCCGCCTGGTCGGAGCGGAACCGCGCGACAATGAAGGCCGGCTCGTTCTTTGGAACTGGGGAGTGTTTCGTCTTCACCGTGAGTTCGTCGCCCATCGTCGTCGCCCGTCCGCTGCTGGCGGGCGGCCGTGTTAATTAATTCATCAGCGATGGCATGGGTTATTGTTATTATTTCTCCTTTTTTTCTCTTCTTTTTCCAACACATTTGTTTGGCGCAGGCCCAAGGCCCAAAAAGGTAAAGCGGCCGCCGGCTAACAAATGTTGTAAGTTGTAAGAGATGAGAGTTGATACCTTTGCCTGAATGGAGAGAGAGGTTGCAAGTGCTTGGGAAAGGAGAACATTGAATGCGCATTTGAAATAAAATAAGTAGAATGCATTGTTTTATTATTCATACTACAAATGAATTATCTGTGAAAAGAGCCATATAGCTCATCGGATTCCTCCAGTAAAAGATGAAGATTCTAACTCTGACGTGTGTTTTTCCTCTTGCGTGCAAAGGTCCGTCCGGAGATACGGCGTCACCAGTGGGTCGTCATCCGCTCTCCGCAGGGCGGACTCGACTCTCCGCTCGCCTCTCCGATGCCGTCCCCTTACCCGTCCCCCCAGCCCTCTCCCTACCCGACGCCCCCCTCCACCCCTCCCTCCTCGCCCGTTCCTCCGCGCCGGCGCCTCTCCGACATGATGGAGGGCAACGCCTGCGGCGGCACCGGCGGCGCCGTCGTCGCTTCCTCCTCCTCCTCCTCCTCCTCCCACGACCGCTCGCTGCACCAGCGCGTCTCGCAGGCCTTCGCCAACTGCAGGCCGCGCTCCGGCTCCACCCGGGAGGTGGCGTCCCAGCCGGGAGACGGCTCCCCCAAGTCGTCCCGCCGCTCCGTCGGCGACGCCCTGCGCCTCTCGCTGTCCGCGCTCGTCGGCTCGCCCGGCCGCTCGCCCGCCGTCTCGCCCAACTTGCCCCGGCGCGGCCTCGGCGGCAACGGCGGCGGCGCCGGCGGCGGCGACGGCGCCGTGGCCTCTCAAGCCGCGTTCGCCAGCGCAGTCTCCTCCTCGCTGCTCTTCCCTCCGGCCGCCGCCTCGAGGCCACGGTCGTTGTCCACCCCGATCCCGCTGTGCGCCCACGTCCCCTCTCGCCACCATCACGGCGGGAAGATCCGATTCAACCCGACGCCGTCGCCGCCCGCTCTGCTCTGCGTGCCGTCGCACTCCTCCTTCGCCCAGGAGATGCAAGCACGCGGGCTGGGCCCCAGCGCCGCGCCGCTGCAGGCCTCGCAGTCCTTCCAGATGCCGGCCAAGGCGGCCTCCATGTTCATGGCCGGCACGCCGGACTCCATCGTGATTGGTGAGCGCAGGTTGCGGACGATGTGCGTCGTGGGAATACGTGCGCGTGTCCCCCGTGCACTCGCGCGTGTGCACGTGCGAGCATGGGGAGCGGTCGCTTAGTGGTTAGCGCACTAAGATTCCCACAAAGGTGGCTGGGCACGGTACTACGCCCCTCCTACTGAACATGAGTCCATTGCAGTTCGGGTGACAGGTAGCCTTTTGAGTCGTGTTTTTTAATGTACGCTCCTACGCATGTGTGTGCGCTTGTGTGCGCGTGTGTATGTGCGTCCCCACCAGGCGGGGGAGGGGGGTTCGCCCTGTGCCTGGACGCGGAGCTGCTGCATGGGCGCAGCGAGGCGTGCGACACGTTCGCCAACCCGCCGCTCAGCTCCACGCAGGACTTCACCGTGCAGGTGCTCGAGGTATGGGCGCTGCGGCAGGAGGACGACCAACCCTGAGCCTACCGCCGCCGCCGCCACCGGAGACGGAGAGACGGAACCCTTCCCCCTCGCACACCCACCCACCCACCCCACCACAGTCTGCATGGGCGACTCTCGAGTCAAACGAATCTGGGCGGGGGGGGTGGGACGGCAATATTGGAGACGGGGAGCAACCACGTTGCGATTAGACCATGAAGATCGCGTGTCAACTGTGCAGCTGCCGTGGAATCTGGCAGAGGGAGTGACGCGGTGGCGAGGTGTTTGGTGGCACCGGTGGCATTCCCTTGAACATTACTTCTACCACAGCCTAGCGCAGAAAAGTGCCTTTGAATTGTGGGGGACACACGAAGCGGAACGGGGGGGGGGGGGGTTGTGGGGGGAGGAGAGTACATGGTGCAAGCGGGATGCTGGCAGGGGTAATGTTTTCACTAAAAAATAGCAGGGGGGAACACGGGAGGGGGGGGGGGATCTGGCAGAAGGAGGAAGCAATGAGGAGGCGTGGTGGCCACCAAATGACACTGGGCCGTGGTCACCCCCTCAACTTGAATGCGAGCGTCTCCCCAGCCACCCTGATGAGCGGCGCACCTGGGGTGTGGTGGGCACAGATGGCCACCCCCGTCGCACTGCACTCTTGAGCTCATGGGCACGTGGGGACTCGGTCGACATTCCATACCCAGATCCACAGCTCGCGCGGCGACACAACCTGAGGCTTCGTCTGCCCGGGTGCAAAAGAAGTTCAACATACATACGCAAGGGCGAGCACTGTCGCACGCAACGTCACGGCAATCGAGAGGAGAGCCCCTGGCGTTGGTCAACCACAGCTGTGAGCGCTTGTCCAAGTTTGTCACACATTCACCTCGAGCACGCGTGGATTCCGATGGAACGTTCCTCGACGAAGAGAGAGAGGGGTGCGCGAATCCAGAGTTGAGATTGGAAAACGCAATGTGCGCGGCTCCTGTCGGATGTCGAGTGTCGCTGGATGCATTCAACGTGCTGATCGTATCCAGCGAGAGCAGCGTGAACTTTGCATTATAACCTACTAGCTTTACTACCCAGCTTCGCCCGGGACTTGAATTCACCACGCCCGGCCGCCTTTGTCTCCCCAGTGGCGATGTTCACACACCAGTTACTCATTTGAGGCTGAGTCGACCTAGGGGAGGCCCAGGACCGGTTCAAATAATCGTCACAGGTGGTGGCCGTGAGCAGGAATCGAACTCGGGTCGCCGGGTTCGTAGCGCAGCGCGCTAACTGCTACACTACAATGCTTTACGCTTCCACGTGCGTGGGTCATGTGACATTTGACGTCACAGCTCACTTGCCATGCAAAAAAATTATGCATTATTGAGCTCCCCCCCCCCCCAAAAAAAAGTGTACTTTTAAAATTTTTTGCATGGTGTACAGTCTGGAAAGTACCCACATAGCAAATTTCAAGTTTGTTGCATGTCGGGAAGTACACTAAACATTTTGAACTGACACACATATTCACAACTTTGCCTTTTTTATATATGGAGATGTGGAGGCTCTGTAGTGTTCAGTGGAGGACAATGCAGTGAAATCCATTGTTGTACTGTGCCAACATCTGTGATCTCCACCGTCACGAACCTGTGTCGATCAGAGTGGCGAAGTCCGGTCAAATGATCCCCAACTACTCGCCCGGCGCAGGGAGGCCATCGTCCAGCAGTGGATTGTGAAAGTGCATTCCACTCGGCCCTCTGGCTGTGGCACACCAGTTGTCTATGTTTATCAGCATCCTGGCTTTGAAGCACAGCGGATGTCTGGACAGATGCTTTTGATTGGGCGCAAAAGGTCACCAATGTGTTGGTGGCTGTTAACCCTTTCCTGTCCCGTTCACCGCTGAATCTAAGTTAAATTTTATTTAGAGAAGCGTAGCGCCGTTGTTTTTAAAGACATTGTGTAAGGGGGACACGACCGCACTCTCCGATAGCTGTCGCCAAACTGTGCCACACCCCCTGCCGCATGGTCTTGTGGGAGCCTCGATACCGATAAAGTTATTTTATTTTAAGTTTTTCCTTCCGGTTTTGTTTTGATGATGTACACGTACGTCATCGGAACGGGAAACGTTTAACAATAGTCGGTGTGTATGCACCTCTGCTTCATTAGCGTGACAGCAATTGTAAGGGCCAATTAAACAGCTGTAACTACAGCCGTCCGTATACAGCTACTGATCTCTGGGATTGGCGAGTGGCACCAAGGGGGTGGGGGGGGGTGCGGTCCGTCAATTGAACAGACAGAGTGCATGCGCACTCTGGCTGTTCAGCTCCAAGATCGTATTTAAAAAAAATATAAACATTGCAACCGAGATGAAAAATCACTGCTGGGGTAAAACCACTAAGCAACATTGCCTCCTCCTGGCAGACTGTGTACCCTTACGTGAAACTGCGGTGGCTTCACGATATCCTCGTGCTATAATACAACGGCCTGGACACTGAATTGATCAACTGGGCGGTAGCACAGTGGTACCCACACGTGCCCCGCAGCCAGAAGGAACTGGGTGCAATTCCCAACTTGGGTGCCTTTCTGTGTTGATTTTGTATGTTCTCTCCCTGTTCTGCATGGGTTTCCACCGGGTTTCGTTTCACTCCGTAGATAAAACCATACAATGTAGCTGGTATTGGCCAAAACATCCCATTGCGAAAAAAAATTACCTGCAAATTACTCAATTGGGATTACACACTACTGTGAAAACTTGGTAGGACCCTTCTGAAAAATTGTCTCGACTCTGCGAGGATTTCCTGCAGGATAAACACGCAATACACAAACACCACCATTAGTGCTGTGCTTTGTCATTTGACGCGGACAATTAGGTCCAACTGATTTCATTTGGGCCCGTACGGTTGCTTATTTTGGGGAACGTTAAAGTGTCATGGCATCGGTTGTATCAACGCATATCAGTTTTATATTTTATTTTTTATATCGAGTGCCTTAATTAAACACCAAGCACCCTGGACCTTAACTGAGAGGGCGAGCAGACGGATGTAAACTTTAAATTGCACGCCATGTTCCATTTCATGAGCACAATAAAGTATTTTGAAGTGGCTATTGTCTTGAGAGTATACGCGTATACCACCGTTAATCCCGTGTGCGCCGTGTGAGTGGATGCACAGGATGCGGTTAAGAATTCTTGAACGGTCAACCGATCGATTTGCGAGAGCTTGCGTCTCATAATAGGGGAGCACCTTCACAGAGCTGTGGGCCAATGCAATCGCCCGTGAACCCAGAGCAGAGACCACCACCTGACCGTTACCAGCTGGGGAGGTGGCGTCATGAACTTGCTTCGTTCCCTGCGCGGCCCGAGAACGGCGAATTGCACCACCTTTTGTGATAACCGTTTGAAATGACGGCTTATGAACCGATTGACTCGTGTCGGGCACAGGAATCAATTGGTACTCAGGTGTTGTTGATTTAGGGTGGCACAGTATTAATGTATGCTGTGGCGCGTGGGCCGATTCAAGTGACCTCTCGTCCATGTGGGTAAAGGGGGAGCACTTTTCCACCCGCACTGCTACAGGGAGCCGCGGCCACCACGCAACTGTCCCAGTGCCAGTAAGTACAGAGCTGGAGTTTACCCAGATACAAAAAAAAAACGTGTGCTACCACATTTATTGTCATGGAGTTTCTGTACTTTTTCTCGCCTTCATTGGCAACTGATCTGGATCTCCCTCTTTCCGAAGTGGATATCTGACGTGCCCGATATGTTGCCACTGCCGTTTCGCAAGACTGCGCAAGCTCGAGTCGACAAGAGTGCTGGCCAACCACAACTGCAAGCGCCCATCTGACAACGCCGTCGGGGTAGCAAAACGACCGTGGGTTTAAGGGGTTTGGTACTTCACCTCGGGGCAGATGTGGCATTTTAAAATAAATCTCTGGTAACGCTGAATTTCAGTGAGTGACAACTCGTGTGTACTTGACCTGCAACCCCACCCCACCCCCGGCGTTCTTTCCAATAGGTTAGTTGGCCAGCCATGGGGCAAAACCTGTGTCATCACCGTCTTATAAAGGTCGAAAAATTCCACAGCGACTCCCAACTTTGGGCCCCAAGTTCTCTGGGACAATTTTACTTTAGGGGCTGTCCCTCATTTCCTAGGTTGTGGATGGCAGACAGTATTAATTGTTAGTGAACCTTTTTTTTATTCTTAAATATTTCTAAGAAAGTCCGAGACTGCTTGGAGAGACCTGCCCACCTTGCACAATATCTTCAGAAACTCAGGAATTCGTGGAATCACCATAACAGTTCTTAAACCCAAGTTTTCGGAAACTCGCCAACTTACGTGTAGGAGTTGGCTCAGTAGAGCAAGACTCGGTTGGTACCTTGCTCAAAACAAGCAACGTGGTGCCGATCTGGTGTAGATTCACCATGGCAGGTCATCAATAGAACCACGTTTCCACTAGTGCTACCTTATAGCGAATATCCCTTGAGCTAGGAAATTGACCATCTTATTTTTGGGCCGTTCTGCCTAGGGAAATTTGGACAAATTCATTCTCGCACATTTTTGGATGTGGGTGGAAAACTGGCTATGTCACGAAAATCCATCACGCATACGAAGGGAGCTAATGCAAATTTGCGGTGATTATTCAATCTCTGACTGTATTGCCTCCTCGGCCACATTGGTTTAGTGGATTGGGTTGAATAAATTTTGTCTGCCAACCCTGATTAGAAAGCCACAATCATAACCCATTATTTTTGAAGTTCTTTAAAAAAAGTTTAATCCATGCACTTTTTACGTAAGACTGTCAAACAGCTGCACTTAGTTAAGAAATTTGACACGCCCCACAGTACTTATGTAGAACTTCTTTCGCACCGTACATAGACAACCGTGCTAATCAGATGTGCGGGAAAGTTTTGACGTCAACGTATGAACTTTAGAAACGCCCTTGCATGTTCAGCGCAAGTGTAAACATTGTAAAACATTTTTTATGGATCCGACTGGGAACATTTAGCTCCACTGCATGCATGGCAATAAAACCCACGGGTTTTCATTAGCAGGTGACTAAGGCCCCCATCGTGCCAACCGGTGTCCATGTTCCACCACAGAGTGGGAGGCTTGCTGCAAGGTCAGGCTGGTGCCGCGATAGATCGGACGGACCCACGGGTCCCTCGGGACAGCAGACTGGATGGTGCACTGATGGGAGGACGGCAGAGATCTGAAATGCCCGGGTGTGCGGGATGAGAGTCGTCCTCTATTCTTACAATGTGGCAAAACAGCTGGAGCACCCAACTGGGTCAAAAATGCCCCCTCAGTCAATTCCATCTCAAGTTATGTATGGTGGTCGCCTTTGGAGTTGTGACATTGCCCTGGTAAAAATGTGAAGCTCGTGCATCTTGGGTAACCCAACCAGAGAGATGCCACCCCTCCCCCCACTGGCCAAGGGATTATGAATCCGGCAGTACCACATTTATCATGAAAACCACAACTTTGAACCAATAACTTGCACATGGAGACGCACAGTTCTTGTCGACCTAATAAAACTTGGTTCCTGTTAAACGCTAGCGTCAGAGCCACATGCAGATCCACACGGTGCAGATTACCAATGTACAGCGCGTTGGGGAGGTTGGCACATGCAGGGAAGCTGGGGAGAAGCGCACTCGTTACTTGCCACATTGGTGAAAGACAAACGAGGAAATTGTTACTTCATCGGTCGTGGCATTGGCTGCTTGGACATCTGAATTCACCATGTCAGGTTAAACCAGGACTCTCCCCAGGTGCAAAGTTGGCTGCACACAGGAGGCACGTGAGGTCCCAGGATTGTCCATCACAAAAACGCAGGGCTCTGGATAAGGATAAAAATGCATTTGAGGTTTTGTCAGCAAATCACACGCAAAAAAAAGTGTAGCAATGTCGTGAAGCAACACGCAAACAACGTTGAGATAACCACTGCAAAAAAAGAAGCCATTATTTTGTCGTCTTGAAGATACGTAAAAAAACACGAAACACTCGTGTTTATTTACCAGGTAAAGCCCACCCAGCTATGAGTTATTTTTTTTTCCCGAGGCAACCTGGCCACACGTTATGATAGCTCATTGTAGTACTGGAATGTTTTCGCAATAGCCAGGAAATATTAAACGCATGTCTCTAAAATGTAGAGGGCAAACATCGGAGGAAGACCCGGAGAAAAATCCACCCGAGAACACATCTCAAA